TTGCTCTGGAGACGAGAGCACCGTTTTCACCCCCCTTCCTCCATTCCAGTCCATCACATTCCCCCCAGCTATTAGATTGGCCCCAGGCCTGCTGGCCTTCTGTAAGGCCTTAAAGATATGGTTGTGTCACCAAGCTTGGGGATCTGGATGTGCAGCACAGCCCGTGCAATGGTTGTACTGATTTGCTGTTGGTTTGTTTTTTTACTTCAGCTGCCAATTATGTATTATGTATCTTTCTATAGTTATGTTTAATGGTGTTTTTAACTGTTGCTAGCCACCCAAAGTCATGAATTTGAGATGGGAGGCCATATAAATTGAAACAATCAATACGCCACCCATCCAATGTACATATAGTCCCTGTACACACAGTTGTACATACAAACTCCCACACAGTTTGAGCCAATTTAAATGTTTAATTTCGGTCTTATTGTGTTATTACAGTGACAGTCTCTGCCTCAATCTATGCACATTCATTAAAACATGAAAAAAAAACTCTGCACACAGGGCTTTTCCATTGGGAATCCCAAATGCTTGGGATAGCACTCTGCATTGAGGATGAAGACATTCATGACATTATTTTCACCCTCCCACCTCTGCCCTTCCATGCATTCACACTTGAACACTAAAAGCTCAGTTATAGCTGCTTCCCTTGAGGCATTATTATCCTAATTTTGACCATCAGCTCTAGCTTCCAAAAGGTTGAATGTCTAACTTCAGCTATGCATATCTGTTAAAAGTAACAGGCTTTCATCACTTACACAAGGAGTGCTACTTAAGTTACAGCATAAACAAACCTGTAACTGACGAACCAACTGATGACTTAGCTGCTTCTTCTTTGTGCCAAGTGTTTTCTCCAGGCAGTTTTCTGATATTGTGTGATTTAAGTAGCTCTTTGTAATGGTGCCTGTATAAAACAAAGGTCTCAGTATAAGGTAATTCTCTCAGGGATACATTTTGTGATTATCTTCCATTGGCAGTTTCTAAAATTCAATCAGCTTGTTGTGTACTTCAGGTCAGAGCTTAATGAGAGGGTTGGAGAGTTGCCAGATTAATTCAGTGCATTGAAAGATGTGTGTCCACAGCACTTCATATTCTTGCCCAATTGGAACATCTATTGACTGTACATTTGTTATTTATATACTCTCCTAGGAGATATATGACATAAAATAGTATTTTTGTTGGATCTCTTCTTTACAAAATAAAATAAAAATAAATTTCATGTATTATTAAATAATTGCTAATAATTGCTTATAATTTAAAACAAGGTGCCAAACATCTGCTGGCTCATGTCAAGCTTTGTATGGAATGTTGACCCAAAAGTGGGAGAGAGTTTCAGAAGTTCTAAGGGTTGCCTTAAGTTCCCCCACTCCCCAAAATGCAACAACTAAAAAGTAATATTTCTGTTCCCATCTACCCTGGGAAGAATGAGGCCCTTAGGTGCAGAAGGGAAACGTTTTGCACCTCTGATCTCATAATGCTTTCAACGTTATTGTAACATTAGTGTGTTTTAATTTATTTAATTTATACCCCAACACTCTACTCTGATTTCTCACAAATTTAAAAACAAAATAGAGTATCATAAGTGAACCCACAAATTAAAATTAACACTTCCATAGGTACTAAAATCTGTTAATAATTAAAACCTTGGCAAAAGAGATGCAGCCACTGATTTTTTACTTTTTAAAAAAATGTTGAGAGAATGGGAAACAAATGTAATACCTGAGGGACTGTATTCCACAGCCTGGGAGCAATGGAGGAGAAGGCTTTCAAACTTATTTCCCCTAAAGTGGAAATAACGAATTACCTGCAACTGGAGTCCTTTAAGTGATCAACTATGAACATACAAAGATGGATCATGTATCTGAACAGAGCCCATTCATAATATTCTAGAGTTTACAGAATTCTTGGTAGGAGCCCCTGCATCCCTCCCCCCATTCTTACCATGTATGACTAACTGCAACTCACACTAAACATCTTCAATTTCTGAGACTGACACAGTGTAATCAAGAAGAAACGGTCACATAAAACCAAGTGAGGGCAGACTGTGTGAATTCTCAAATGATCACTCCAGTTCCAATCATGGTCTTTGGGTGAGTAGCTAGCTTATTACCTGGAACAGCGTCTGGTAGTCCTAAGGTGACAGAGAAAGGTCTGGTTTTCCAAAGTTTGCATCTCACCGAGAATGGAAGTCCAGTCAAGAGTATTTCAAAGAAGTATAGAGTAAGGCCCAAGTAGCTGCACAGCACTGCTTTGATAAATCTAATTCCACAAAGGAAGACTGCAGATGTTGTCATTCTCATAGAATGAGTGCAAATCCAGTGGAAGCTTTATTGTTTGGCCTACTCATAAAAAAGGCTTGATGGTTGCGATTGTCCACTGGAGAGAGAGAGAGACCCAGCTTTTTAGAGAGGCCTTAGATAGCCAAAAATAGATGCTAGTCCCTTTGGAATGGTTTGGTTAAAGTAAAGTATTTGCTTAAAGTAAAAGGCAAGGTCTCTAGCAGCATACAAGTTTAATACATTATTATTATTATTACTATTATTATTCTGATAGAGAATGAAACAATCACTTTATTGGTATGGAGAAATTAGGGGAAAAAAAGTCCTCTCTTACTTTCCTGCTTGACAAGCTGATACCACAACTGCTAGAAAAGCCATGTTCCATCATAGGAGATGGATAGAAATGGTAGCCAGGACTCAAAAGTTGTTTTCATTAACAGGGAGAGAAAAAGAAAGATTTCATGAAGAGATCAGCAGGTATCCTAGCAGATAAAGACGCAGAAGGATTTTCATTAGCAAGAGATTAGAAAAACTGGCACAGGATTTTCACTTAGGATGTAAAAAAAGCTCTTGTGAACAGCCTCTAGAAAGTCTAAAGGATCTCATCTACCTTGGCTCTGAGGAGAGGAAAGACTGAATCCCTCAATACAGATAGTCCTTGCTTAACAACCATTTAACAATGGTTCAAAGTTATGATGGCCTCAGAAAAAGCACTTTACAAACTGTACTCTTATGACTATTGCAAACCATCGCACCAACTCTGCAGTCACATGATTGTGATTTGTGACCTTTTTTACAATGGTTGTTAAGCGAATCACATGGTCATGAAACAAATTCCAAGAAAAAATGTCCATTGAAGAAGCTGGATTCACTTAACGACCATGTGATTTGCTTAATGACCATGTGATTTGTTTAATGACCACTGATTCACTTAACGGCTATTGTAAAAATGGTTATAAAATCAGGTCTGATCACATGGTAACTTGCTTAACAACCACCCTGGTTAACAACCAATTTTCCAGTCCCTATTATGGTTAAGTGAGGACTACCCATATGTGAAAAGGAGCAAACCAAGGTGCAGGTGGTCCCTGATGGATGATGAGCAGATTGGGATGGTTTAGGAGATGGAGACAGTTCCAGCAAGCAAGATGCAACAGAAGAGTGAACTGTTGTTGACGTCACTACAGTGCTGTGAGGATATTGTTATGGAATTTCACAAGAACTCTAGTTAAAGGGGAATTAATAGAAAAAGATGAACAAGAAGTTCATTCCTCAAGAAAAGGAAGGCACTGCTTAGTGACTGAAGTTTTATTCAGATATTAGATACTAACAGTTTTTCCAAAATGCAAACGGATGCACGTTAAGAATTCCCCCAGCAGAATTTGAGGAGGATTGGTATCCCCAACTGTGACTGGGCAACTGAATGTGGCTGAATCGTTCAGAGAGAATGTTGTCATTCCCAGGCATATGAACTGTTAAGATAAATATGGAGCATAGGACATACCAGTGACATATATGTAGAACAAAAAAACTAAAAGCAGAATGGACCTTGTACCATCTTGTTTATGTATCAAATAATCATAGCATTGTTTGTACAGTGTGGATAGTATGAGAAAACCCTTACAGTCTTGGAGAACTTTTCATAAGGTGGACTCAAGAGATAGTTCTCTTGGGAGCATTGCTTTTTGCCCTATACACTTGATAATCTGCACAGAAAGAAGACAAGACTACTCACAGTTGACCCAGAGCCAAGGACATGTTAAAAGAGAAGCACCTGAGATGTGGTGAGAATGCTCAGAACAAGATGGTGCAATTAAGAATTAGTCATTCAGATAAGGAAACAGTATAATACCAAGGAGGCAAAGGAACACCACAACAGATATCTGCACTTAACAAAATTTCTAGTGCCTATCTTGAGACCAAATTGTAAAACAAATGGTAAATGGAACCATTTACTATAAAGCAAAGCAAAGATCAGGGTGGTAGGGTACCATGGTTATATGAAGGTAGGCATCTTGTGAACCAATATATGCAAATTGTAGCCTTTGCTACAGAAGAGGAAACACACCAGAAACCAAGATTATCCTGAAGCTAAAGAGCTCAAAGAAGTCATTAAGGTGATAAAAGATTTAGTATAAGTCTGAGACTGCCATCTTTTTTCAGAATGATGAAATACGTTGAAAATAAATTGAAATTATAGTGCTCCAAAGGAATATGCTCAATTGACCCTTTTTTTTTATTAAGAGGAGAATGCTTGGTGTAATTCCAGAAGTACCCTATAATCCACCAATGATTCAGCATGAGGCTAACCTAGAATTAATGTGGAAATCCTAGGAAACAATGCGCAAAACCCACAGGTCACTTTACAGATGTCTAGTGGTTCGGAAGAATTGTAGTGGTTAAAATGAATATTTTACCAAGAGTAAATTTTCTATTTCAAATGATTTCAGTTGCTATTGAGAATAAATTATTAAACAACTGGCATAGATAAGTAATGAATTACATATGGTCTAACAAAAGACAAAGGATTACATTCAAAATTTGCAATTCAAAAGAATGAGGTGGCCTAGTAGCTCCAAACTTCAGATTGAGATATATTTGGGTTGATATATGTAGAAATAAACAATTTTTAGAGACTATCTAATATGAATGCCTGGGATAATACAGAAAAAGAATAAGTCCAGACTCCCCTCTTGCTTTCTTACGATCTATTTTTATGTTCAAGAAAATACTAAAAATGTGTTCAAGAGAGAGACATTCATCTGTTTAGATTACAAGGTTTTTTTATTAATAGGACAAAATTAAAATCCCTCGTGTCTTTTGTTACCCAGTTCTCTCTCACGCTCAGTTGGTTCCAATACTCTCAAATAAGTGCAGCAATAAGAGAATTTTTATTATTTATTTATTTATTTATATATCACACTTATATAGCCATACAAAGTGACTCTGGGCAGTGTACAACAATTAAATAAAACAAATAGGTAAAAATAATCATTATAAAAGATAAAAAAGTGATTATTAAAATGCAACATCAAAAAGTTTAAAAAATTTAAAATATACAAACCCCATGGAGAGAGAGAAGTATTCCCCCTTTAGGGAAACTAGGGGGAATACTGAGGAATTTGACTGAATTTGAAATCTTATAATCCATGATACTGTACATTTGCTGGACACAATTTAGATTCAGAACCTGAATGCAAAATTTCAATACTGTTAAACAGATGGAACAGTGGAAATTTCAATTAATAAATAATATTAAATTCACCTCAAACATTATACTTAGAATTAGTATAAGATGTTTTATCACTGGTATATTACTCCAGTCATGATTGCCAAAATAAGTGGCTTATTTTCCTCAAAATGCTGGAAATGCAATGAACAGATTGGATCTTTTTTCCATATGTGGTGGCAATGTTGCAAAGCTCAAAAATATTGGAAATTAATTCATCATAGAATGGAACAAATCTTAAAAGTCATAATTCCATCTCAACCAGATATATTTTTATTAAATTTCACCAAACCACATATAGTATTTCTTCAAAATACACTGAACTAGCATTGCATAACAGGTACAAGGATTTTATATGTTTTTTTATTGGAAAAGATCTGTGACCTCCTCTATGGAATAATGGTTAATTAAACTGAGAGTATATGTTTTGATGTCTTGAATAACTTCATATCTAAAAAGTAAATTGATGTACAATTTAATCTTATTTGGAAACCATTTCTGGATTACATGGAAGTTCACTGCATCCCACATTTGAATTCTCTATACATTATTTACTGTATGTATTCTCTTAGTGTATTGTTTACTATTTACTTTTTTGCCTTATTGAGTTTAACTTTGTTAATCAGCTATTTTTATAATTCAGTGGAGACATTTCTTGATCAGAAAGAGGGTATGAAATGATTAATAGTACTCTAAGTTGTTAATGTGTACTAGAATATTTGTGTGTGTTTAATCCTTGTACACCACCCAGAATCACTTGTGTTAAATGGGCAGCCATATCAATAACATCAATGAATAAGTCACATGATATATTTGATCTGCTGGTTAACTGCAATTTGCTGGATATCCACCCATACTTTATTGTTTACATTGTTTTTTGTGGGGGGATAGTCAGTCCAGAGGAACTGATAGGAATGGAGACAAATTGGTCAGAACTTTTCAAAGGCCTTGGCCATTTATTAAGCAACTTCCCTTGTGCTGACAGTGGTATGACAGAGGGCAATGGATTTCCTGCATGAAAATCAAGTCATTTTCCCCCAAGCAAACATACATTACAGTACTAGGAAAAAAATAACAAGGATCGTTAGCCAAGTAGAAAAATCCTTCCTTGGTCATCAGAGTATAAATTATATATAAAATTGACCTACACACTTGTTTATAGAAATTTAAACTGAAGAAAATTCTCAGAGAATACTCAGAATCCTGCATTTTCACTAATCAAATGAGTTCCAGCACAATCCTCTGTTTTGGGACCTAGATATGATAGCAACACATTACCATTCCCAGGCATACTCTTGGGTCAAAGGAAATGTCATCATATTCAGCCCTGGAAAGAATAAGAAATCAGAAAAAAATGTCTGACTGGAAGATGAGGAGGAGGAGAAAAAGGGAGTGTTAAAGGCTATTAGTCTACCTTATTCTTTTCCTCTGTGTATGAGAGGACTCTTACAACCTGTTTTGCTTCTAAGTGAAGCAAAGTTTGCTGTTTACTAAAATATTTGACTAAACTCTACTATCAGTGGCAGTCTGTATCAAGAATATTACCGTAGTACTATGAGAGTCTCGGTCCAATGACTTTGCTCACTCTCCCAAGGATCCACTCTGATCCAGTCAGATGTCTCAACTGCAAGCTGAACCATTGCTATCCGATGTTTTGCTGCTACCAATCCTTGCTTCCCATAATTGTCGCTAACTGGTGAAATTATACCTTCTACCACATGGTACTTTCCTTGGTAGGGAAAAAACAAAACAAAACAAACAATTCAATGTTTTATATATTTTTTGTAATAATGATAAATGAGAAACTGAGAAATTCTTCATCGCGTAAACAATAAAAACAACTGTTCCTTCTTTTCTGCAATTAAACTGTTGAATGTTCTATTACTGAAACATTAACTTCATTAGACATTACTAAAAAGAAAAGCAGATAAGCATAAAGTGCTCTGCAAATAGAAACATTTTTCATCTATAATGTATAGGATTAGAAAGACTGAAGATTGGGTTAATGAATTTTTAATTCAAATATCTACCAGAACTTCAAGAACAGCTTCAAGATAGCCTAGCTGATGTATGCTTTAACTGACCACTATTTGCTTCTTGGTATAATGCATTCTAATTAAAAAAAAATCTTATACTAATTATAAAGCAAGAGTGCCATGTGTTTTAAATGTTTTCCGCAAGTATTCATAAAAGTGTTAGCCAAAGCAAAGAAAATAGTTATCACAGACTTTTAGATCAAGTGTGAAGAGCTACAGGGGACTACATTTAATTAATATTTTGTGCTGCCAGCTCTTCATCTATATGAATGACCATGTTAATTAAAAGGTGAAGTAAAGTGTCTCCAAGAATGTACTGAAATATAATTAATTAACGTCTATTTCAAAGCAGATGATAAAGTCCACAGTTCAGATGAATAAAAGTCAATGTGGGGTTTAAGAACACT